GAGGAAGCGAGCAGCTCAATGCTGAGATTGGAGCTTGTGTGTGTGTGTGTGAGGGAAAGAGTGGGGGGTATGAGGCACCAAGGCAAAAAAGGGAGATACTATGCCACCATTCAACTTGAGGCCTTTTTTTTCAAGTGCCCGTCGGTTGCATTTGTCACGTCCTCCTTTCATGTCACCATTCGCCACCTGCTTCTGAAATTCCTGAACATTTTCTGAAACCTTCCAGCGTCCTGCTTCATTTTCTCGGCCTCCCTCCCTTTCGCTGGCCCCATCCACTCTGTTCCACAAGTGAAAGGAAACCAAAGAAACATTGCTCCTCTAACTCTCTTTCACAGACTCAGCCCACTGTCTTACACCCCCCAAGTTCATGTTCTTCTGTTCTGCATTTGGAATAAGTCTCCCCCTCGCTCTCTCACTCACACACACACAATATCTGAGAAAGATGATGTATAATTTTATGGATCAAACAAATAATAAAGAGACACCTGGCTCTACTGCCACTCATGGACTTATGAGATCACAATAAGAAAACGTTAAAGGGATAATTCACCCAAAAATGAACATTCTGGCATCATTTACTCACCCTCATGCTGATCAAAACCTGTGTGACTGACTTTCTTTTGAAGATAAAAATATCAAATTTAAATGAGAAATGAAAGTCAGTGGGATCCAGTGTTGCTTCAAACCCAAAATATCTTCTTTCATACAGGTTTGGAATGACAGAGGATGAGTAATTGATGACAGAATTTAAATCTTTGGATGATACAATTTCTTGAACATAATATACAGTGGCACCAAAAGTATTTAGAAAAATGAATCATGTTATTCCATATTGATTGACTCTTTTCTAGATAAGAAAATATTTGAATGAAAAATGTGTTTTATCCAAACAACCGCAAACTATCTTCTTTTATATAGGTTTTTAATGACAGACTATGAGTAAATGATGATACCTTTTATTTTTTTGGATTATTTCTTTAACATGCAATGTCTCTAAAAACAACATTTTCCATTTCAAAATTCCATACTTCTCTAGACTCAAATTTCCAAGATTTTCAGACCATATTTAACATAAATGGTTCATACAGCACTATTTTCAGCTTTATATTTGGTATATATCAGTCATCTGTAAATATTTTTATTTTTTCATGGTATTTTACATTGATTTTCTCTAAGTGACTTTTGCGTGCACACAAATAACTTTGTGTATTTGTATTTATTTATTTATCTGTATTTTGCAACACTGTAATCTTTAGAAATTTTGCATAATTAAAAAGTGCATCTGAATTCATTCAGTCGTGTTTCACAATCAATTAAGAATCACTAAACAGCTGCCATGAAAACACTTCTATGATAAACTTATTTTCATTATATTCTTAATTTTATATTATAAAAAACTAAATGGGGGCAAAAGTCTGGAAATGCAAATATTTTTCCATACTCTGCTTTCTTTTTTTCCATACTTTCCAAGACCTGGAAATTACTTAAATCAAATTCCATACTTTTCCAAACCGCGTAGGAACCCTGTAAAAAGTATCTTGAAACTTGAACCACAATTAAAAATGAATTAGAATCCTTCATTGTATAGATTGCCAAAATATCAAACCAAGATGGGTTTATTTTAAAGAACAACAGCATAAGATGTAGATGATAAACCAATAGAGAGAATAATTTCGTTATTTTCTAATGATATTCACTTCCCATTACTGTATAATATATGTAATTCTGGCTTCCAATTAATGTCTAAACCAAACTTTGTATGACTCCACCAGCACAAAATGACCGATGTAGCGGCTGACTGGAGGTCTTCAGGGAAGAGCAGGGTTTTATCTGTCAGGGCTCAGAAGGTGCCGCCAACAGGCCTAGAGTTTACCTGCTGCTGCCCACAGCGTAGACCAGCTGCCACCTCTAGAAACACCCTCTAATATGCTGCCAACTCCTGTCTGCCTGAATTCTGATCTGCACCTCAGACAAGTGCGAAGGGAGCGGAACAAAACCAGAGTGCGTCGCGCAGCCCCCTGGCCTCTCGCACGGGCCCCACTTCAGCATTGTTGCGGCCACAGCAACTGTCCCCATTCTGGGCCCAGGAGAGGGGAGGAAAACTATCTGTCAGGAGACTCTGCTGACCACTCGTGAAACAGCGCCGAGGAACCTAGGAGAGGAATTTCTTAGGATTCAGGGCTGGTTAGCCAAGACTAACTAGGGGTAAATGGGATTTCTGCAAATGGCAGATGTGTAATGTCAAATCACTAGCTCTCACTCTCTAGCTCCAAATTATTTAATAAAATATCTAATAGATGTATGATGAATTGAAATAAAGGGCAAACAACATGCAACATCAACATAAACAAGTATTAATAAAAAATAATTTGAAAATATTATTGTTATCATTAACTATAAAATATAACTAGAAGAATCATAATTTAGACAGCTACACATCAAAATAATGAATGTACATTTATTTTATTCTGAAATGTCTCTTATTATAGACATGGACTTAACAATAAAGCATTTGAAGAGTCATAAACTGTATGTAAAGTGTAAATGTAAAACCTTTATTGTGAAACTGCCTGTGCTGCTTATATCCAGTTTAATACTGATTTTACAAGTCACAATCCTGCAGTACTTTCAGTTTACCAGCAGGCAGTGCCACCTGATGGCAAAAACCTTTCTCCCAATTTCACCACAAGATGGTGTTCATACTCAACTTCTTTGTAGAAATCCACACACAGAAGGGTTAAAATTGCTAAAAATTTTTTTAAAAAAACATCTTGGGAGATGGAATATTCTTATGAAGACGGTGGCTTTGGCTTGTCTTACATTAACTCATATCACTGCCGTTGCTATTTCACCCCTGTTGATCTCACTTTAAAACCCTCAAACACCTAAGAATATCACTCAAATTCTTCCACTGTGTTTTCTAGAATTCAGTTTAAAGAGCTGTTCCAGAATCCAGATTTACGAGTCCAGTGAGAGTGATAACGGTCCTCTCTTATACACACGGCACATGAAAACCACAAACCCCTTCACCAAGACTGTCTGTCTGCAGAAGATCATCATGGCGTGCTCACAGGAGGCGCTCTGAGTTAGCCATGGTTGCTGTAAGGCTCCTGCCATCTCTCAGAAGGACATTCCTGTTGATCCTCTTATATATTCTTTAAAGTCTGTTGCCACGTTCAGTAAAGAGCACACCTGTAGAGGTGAAATGTGCTAGGCATGTATTATTTTGATGATTAAAAGTTAAAATAACCAATTAGAAACAGTCAGCTTGCATTTTAACAAAGAGGTGATGGGGCATGTTTGATGACATTACCTGTCTAAACTTGGCACGCAGCCTTTCCATGTTCTCTTGAAGTTTCTCATGCTTAGGGTCCTCATATGGAAAGTTTTGGATCAATCCAATCAAAGATTCCATAGCTTTCAGCCTTTTTCTAGAAGTAGAGAGAAATTTAGCAGTGCGAGAAATGATCTTACTACCTAATAATCTTACTACTACTGATGAAAAGCAGTGTTTGTTATGTGTTAAAGAACATACCTTGCTTTAACATCACTACTGTTTTGAAAGAGACATTTCCATGCAAGGGCAAATCCATAATAAAAAGAAACCTGAAAAACACAACAACAGAATATCAGATGTTTCATGCACTTACATAGTTTAAATAGCTTACTAAAAGTAAATATGTATAAAACTGTAGGCTATATATGTGACCCTGGACCACAAAACCAGTCTTAAGTTGCACAGGTATATCTGGGGTATATTTGTAGCAATAGCCAACAATACATTGTATGGGTCAAAATTATTTTAAAAAAAAGAAAAATTTACGCCAAAAATCATTAGGATATTTTGTAATGTTACATGATATTTTGTAAATTTCCTACCATAAATATATCAAAACTTAATTTTTGATCAGTAATATGCATTGCTAAGAACTTCATCTGGACAAATTTAAAGGCGATTTTCTAAATATTTAGATTTTTTTTTGCCCCCTCAGATTCCAGATATTCAAACAGTTGTATCTCAGCCAAATACTGTCCTATCCTAACAAACCAGACATCAATGGAAAGCTTTATTCAGCTTTCAGATGACGTATAAATCTTAATTTTAAAAAACTGACCCTTATTACTGGTTTTGTGTTCCAGGTTATTCCTGTACACACTTTTAATTATTTATATGTTTCATGTTTCTCAATTATTGTAAAAACAATAACAGACAGAGAAAACAAACGAAATCATAACTACAATTTGTAATATAATAGTAGTAGTAGTAATAATAAATGCTGCTTAAAATCTTTTAAATGGATTTATGCATGATGACAATGCTGTCATTCATGTCAACTGCATGTTCAGACGTGAGGCCCCAGAATTTGGAAGTCATTGTAACAACACAACAGCAAAAACCTGACACTGCTTTTCCAGAAAGCTACTCCTCACATTATTAAAACAGAATCATTATAAACTCCGGCCATCTGAAAAGATGTGAAACCTGCTGTGAAGACAGTGGTATCGTTCTAATTGAAAGCCAGATTATCTGACAGATTATCCGTCCAGCGCATTTTATTTTATTCTTATTTTTTTTATCTTACTTTTTCCATACCTATATTTATATATATTTTTCTTGTGTTTGTATTCTTTAATAATTGCACTGTCCATGGAGCGGACCTGACTTACATTTCTCTGCTGGTCATATATTCTCTATATAACCATGTATGTGAGAAATAAAAATCTTGAATCTACACGAACTGAATCTGGCATATTGTGTGTGTGTGTGTGTGTGTGTGTGTGTGTGTGTGTGTGTGTGTGTGTGTGTGTGTGTGTGTGTGTGTGTGAGAGAGAGAGACCTCTGCACTGAGTTTGGCTCCGTGAAGCAGCCCGTGGTTTCTGCCATTGATGGTTCCCTGACGCGTTCCCTCCTCAAACCCTTCCTTGTACGCTTCATCATAAGACCTAAAACAAGAGGGAAATTATGAGCCTAACTACAACAGCATTTACAGTAACAGTCACTCAACTAAACACACTCTGAACTAATTTACTGACAGAGAAAAAATAAAAAAAATAATTATGTGTATAAATGACGCGCTATTTTACCTGTGATCAGCCATGATAATGGAGTCAAATAAATCATCACTGTTGGACACAAAAGCCATTTTACAATAAAATGATTTGGTTTTCTATCCCGCAGTCTTCGCTGACAGACACTAACTTCCGGAATCGTTCTTCTTCGTTGCAGTTGGCCTGATGTTTACATGATGCGCCTGGACCACGGCGCCTCTTCTGGAAGGGAAAGTAAACCAAATCAAGTTTCATGTTTATGCTTGAACAAAATAAAGTGAGCTGTCACATTTGTTATAAACTGAAAGAAAGACTTTATCTTGAATTTTAAGGCAGAACATGTCATTTAATCATACTTACATGTTTCATTTACCTTCGTTTTAACTTTATTTACATTCAGAGCTACACTGAGGACCAAATCCCTCTTTTTTCAGGTGTCATAATTCAACAGGTAAGATTTTCATTTTCTTACTCCTCATTAATTGTGAATAAATACTTATTCTTGTCTGATTGTGAAAACAAACTTTTCTTGATTTTACTTCTTCAAATGAGTGTTTTTGGGACATGCTAGCATGCTAGCTGGCTCAGGAAATCAGGCAGTAAGGTGGTGCCACAAGGTTGTAACACTGTTGCAATAAGTGGACTGTGTTGGACCATGTTAACTGTACTGATTATGAGACAAATATCTACCAGTACCGTGGAAATGATTAGAGCATAAAGTCACAAAACTGCCATATATTATGTTTACATTAAAACATTTGAATACAATAAAGGGTAGGCCTATAAAATGTGTCAGTATACTAAATCTAATGTCTAATTTCGCAAGTAAAAATGAGTAATTTGTAAACTGTATCTGACATGGCTTTTCAAGCATTGTTCCTTGTCTTCAGCTTTAATTTTAGAAAATGCATTTGTATGTTTTCATTCATTTACTGTACTAAAAAAAAAACATTTATTTCTAAAACTATTCATTCAGTTCATTAATACATGTAGGCCTAGCCTACTTTGCTTGCTTACAAAAGACGCCACATATGGGCTCCGTCCATAATCTTAAGGTTGAGTTTGAATGAGGCTATATATTACATCAGGGATGGGCAACTTCAGTCCTGTGGGCCACTGTCCTGCAGAGTTTAGCTCCAACCCTAATCAAACTCACCTGCCTGTAACTTTCTAGTGATCTTGAAGACCTTGATGAGCTAGTTTGATTGCATCATATAATAATTGCTGTTAATAGTGTTCATCGTATGTTTGATTATGTCTTTATGGAAGTCGTGGCCTAATGGTTAGAGAGTTGGACTCGTAACCCAAAGGTTGCGGGTTCGAGTCTCGTACCGGCAGGGATTGTAGGTGGGGGGAGTGAATGTACAGCGCTCTCTTCCACCTTCAATACCACGACTGAGGTGCCCTTGAGCAAGGCACCGAACCCCCAACTGCTCCCCGGGCGCCGCAGCATAAAAATGGCTGCCCACTGCTCCGGGTGTGTGTTCACGGTGTGTGTGTGTTCACTGCTGTGTGTGTGCACTTTGGATGGGATAAATGCAGAGCACTAATTCCGAGTATGGGTCACCATACTTGGCCACATGTCACGTCACGACATATTTGATTTGATTTAGCAGGATTTAGCAGGATTATCTCAAAATGCAACTAAATACTATGCCAGAAGAGGGAGCCACAATTTTACAAAAACGTTATTCAACGGTATCATGCAAGGACACGCTGTATATTCTGTTGTTTTTTAGGCCCACACATCTTTACAATACATTAGTATTTTGTGGAAGTACCATGCAGTCAACAATATCAAGAATAAAATATTTCCTCAGTTTCTTCTGGCAATGAAAGATGAACAGCTGCGGCTTATATTTAAAAATGAAGCACTTCTGTCTTATCAGTTGTGATTTGCTGTAGATTTTGTCCACAGGCATTTAAGAAAACTATTTAAGCACATTTAGCATATCATTTATTACATTTCAAAAGTAATTTAACCATGATGTCCTCTTTCAGAAAGAACAAATAGTTGTATATTTATGAAATACAAAAAAAAAAGGTAAACAAAATATGTTTTTACAGTGCATTCTAGTCTAGATTAGGCTAGTAAATACTGTATTAACTAACGTTTTAAACAATAATTACAAAGCAAGGTCATCACAGACACGTGGAAAAATAAATAAATTCAAGCTGCAGGTGATGCACCATTATGGTTGATCTTACAAAAATCTTCAACATTTGGAGTGATTTTGTTTTTGTTTCCAGTCTATTACACTACATTTGTCCAGTGACTGTGTCCAGTGTGCAGGTTACTTTCACTGGACTTTCTAGCATTTTCTCTTTCTGAAAGTCCGGCCCTGTGCTCTGGTTCATAGCAGGACTGATTTGATACCGTCTTCTGTTTCTTGACCTCTGGGTCGTTTCCTTAGAACATTCACAAGTGATTCTTCAGTCCTCATCTTTTGTTGAAACTGGGACTCTGGATCACAATTTGGGAGATCTTTCCAAAAGGGTCCATGCTGTCTATTTCAAGGCCCAACTGATGGTCCTGTTCAGGGTCAACAGAAAAACGCTGCTCCCCTGAAAGGTGGTTGGTAGGTTCCTGAGAAAGTGTGTTGACCATGGGCAGGAACTGGGATGCAGCATTCCCATCGTTACTGTTCAACTTGCTTTTTGCACCACCCAAATTCACAAGGGCTCCATGTTTGCTTGAGATGTAGATGTTGTAACCATCTGGCATGATGCGTTCCAAAAAAGAGCAGTCCTCCTTAGTGTAAGTGTGCTGCAAACAAAAGCAACAGCATGAAAACTCACAAATGTATGCAAAGAACCACAATATGGATATCTCATCAACCTGCCCTGCCCTGCATGTGTTTTAAGTTTTTTGATAGCTGTTTGCTCACCACATGGAGAGGTCAAGGTTGTTATTGCTGTTTCTTTTCAATTGGGTTTTAGCTATGCAAACATACCCCGCCGTGGGCAAAGGTTGATGCAATGACACCACTCAAATCAGCATATTTGGACAGTTTTGTGAGAATCATTTTTGTATGCTGTTCTGGTCAATCAGGTAAATTGAGCAGTCAAGTACTCTCAAAGTCATATTTGCACTATTCATAATTTGTGAGCAGTTGTTTTAATTGGCTTGGCAGCTGTTATAAATATCAGTTCAGTATCTAAGAGTGAAGGACAGGTTTCTAGGACGTTTACTCAAACGTTTATTCATTTTGGAGTTATATGCATGCTGATGACTGTTGTTTCTCCTGTCCTAAAATAATGTTCTTGGTTATAACGTCAGATGGGAGTAACGAACCCATGACCAGAACATAATGTCAATAAAGCTAGATGTCTGTGGCGAAATCGGCTTGTCTACACTTCCGCAGTCATAAAGGACATTGTGAGGTGACCTTAGCACAACAAGGTTATCTCTGACGAATGTGTGTTTGTATTATGATTGGTGGCAGAGTGCCAAAGTTCCACTCTCTAAGAATTAAATTATTGCAATAAGTATGTCACTGTTCTAAAAAGAATTTTAGAAAGTGTCCAAACTTGTAGCCTCAGTTGACCTCTGTCAGTAAGACAATATTGGCTACCTGAACTCTACTGTTTTTGAAAAAATGGGCATTATCTTATGGGCAGGAATCTAAATGCACCTGCAAATATCCTTAAACCCTCAACACAAATATGTCAGTTAATACGGTTCTTCAGGTAGATATGATTCTCAATAGAATTGCTAATACAAATAGAGAAGACTATTTTATAAGATTGTACATTCTATTGCGTCTGATTGTCAAACCTACCGATCCATACAGTTTTCTCATTCTGTCCATGCAGAGAAATCGGGAGCTTGCAACACCTTTAATGGCAACACAGCCCGTATCCACCGGTCGTATCTCAACCAAACCTTTAGGAAACAGAACACGGTTTTTATTGAAGGCAATAAAAATAAAAATTGTTATTTTGTTTGCGCTGAAATTAAAAGCTCTAAAATCTTCATCCAAACATTATTGGTCGGAAAATGTCTCACAAATAGCCTACGGGTTTGACATAAACAGGATTATAGAAATAGAAGATGCTCGTCAACTTAATTTAACTTCCAGTCGCAATTCTAGACCTAATATTTGCATCAAATTGCGTAGCACCGAAAAAGCATAGTGCATGTTGCAGAATAATATAATGATGCATGAAATCCACAAGTGAGGTAGTGAGACAAAATAATAATAATAATAATAATAACAACAATAACTATAATAATAATAGTGCAATTCATAGAAAAGGTGACTTAAGTTCAACCTTTCTGATTTTTTTTTTTTTAATATAACGTTTAAAGTCAGACATGTTTAGGTGGTGTAACTGCAGATTGTAGGCTAATAAAGAAAAAAAGTCGAATTGAAAATCTGAAAATCAGTTAAAAGACAGGTAGTTTTTATAATCGTGCATTAGGCTATTATATCTAAAAAAAGAAAAAAAAAACTACAATATTATTCATCTTTTCAGAACGAATAAATCAGAAATCAGAAAGAACATAATGATTCAATTGTGCACCCACGTGCTTTTTTACTTGATGGTTACACCACTTGACATTTTTTGTGGTATAGGCCTAGCCTATATGTTTAATACATATATTTGAAATAAATATAAATTTCAAAAATACACTTCTAAGAAATCGACACGTTTTTTAAATTGTATTTTAAAAGATTTTCCCTCTTTATCATTTCGGACATCCTTATTTGTCATTGACCCATATACGTGAAGCGCTGAGATAAGCGTAGTAACATGACATGACTGTCACTTACTGTCCGAACTTTGCATGTACGATCCGCTTATTTCCCCATCTGGGTTTATTTGCAGATGTAAACCGTGTCTGGCTGCATACAGATGTCGGAGCCGGACTGCTTCTCCCCAGTCATTTGCCAAATGTGGACCAGAGTCAGGCAACGGGACGCTCTCCACGCCGATGCTACTTCCACAAACAGTGACAAAGAGTAAGAGGAGCATTATTAACTTTTCTCTGTAGTAATTATAGGCTGTCTTGTTCTGATATGAATCCTGCACTCTCTTTCTCCTTTGTATTGCTCTGTTTTGGCGCAAGCTCTGCAGCTGGCCTTTAAATTGTCCTCTTATCAGATCAATCGATAAGCATTTCCCCTTTTTGGCAGTTCTGAGAACAGGGTAACACCCCCCCGCTGGACATCCAACAGACGATGAAGACAGAATAAATTATCAAATTTTATCCTGTTATTGTTTTATTATAATGCATCTGTCATGCATACTCCGATTAACGTAACCATTTTCTCTCAGAGAGGCATTTCCGAGGAGTCAGTGTCAGTCGAAGTGCACTTTTCGAATTGCGTTTGGAAAAAAATGATAATTCATATTATCGTGTTACATTGTTCCATATCCATGTAAGGAAGTTTATATATTTGAGAACTATCAAAATAATTTAAATGAATCATTCTAAAAAATAAATAAATAAATAACATTGCTGATGAACTGGATCAAATATTAATAATATGTTGGGGGGAAAAAAAGCTCACTTTTAAGATGTTACAAAATAGCATGCCAGATTACTCATGCCAGCTAGCGTTTCTTTTTCTCTCTCTCTCTCTCTCTCTCTCTCTCTCAATAATTTCATTCAGTTTAGCCTATAGGTTTTTTTTTTTTTTAAGATTTTTTGCGTTTTGAAGATTGCATTTGCATTTTTAACGTAGGCTATTCTTGAATAATTCGAAGGGGGGAATAAATATTCACCCATATTAATTCGAAAAAAACCCTGTGAATCTGTTTAACTTAACATGCGCACTCTGGAGTAGACTTAACCTACTATAACACATTTGCTCTGTTTTGTTTATTTCTTTTTTGCGTATTGTGTCTATTTTATGAATTGCTGAGGCCGCTGGATTTACACGGAAGTAAAAGAGTAATTTTGAGTAAATATTCCCATTCATGTAAATGCTGAAAATGACCTATATGCTTTTCATCGTAGACATGAGGTTGATCTTGCATAAAAAAAAAAATCGTAATTAGATATTTTTTTATCTTAATCAACGTTCTTAGTTAGCCTATATAAGTCTTTACAGATATGTGACAATATATCCCTGTGCAATGTATTCTCACCAGACAGCCTTTGCAGGGTTCTTGCAATTCCACTTCCCTGCAGTGATCGCTAGATGGCGCTCTGTAATCGCCGCACTTTGGCAATTTTGACGCTCCATACGAATTTTGGACTCGAATGACTCGTTACGAAGAAGATTCAAATAAACGACATGTACTGAATGAAAAAGCATTCTTGATGATAATTTTTTTTTTTACTTTTAATTCATAGTCAGTTAAGAAGATCCATCAATATTATTATACTTATACATATATTATACATAAACATTCCCAAGTGTTTACTCATTTAAGTGATGGAAAATATATATCTTAAAACGGGTAATATCAAGCAAAACCTAAACAAATCAGTTAATATCATACAAAACTTAAGAAATGAAATGAGAAATGAATGAATGGTTCATTTGTTCTGCTAAGTCACCAAGTTACCCTTAGAGTTTCCATCATCTCATCATTTGTGTGACATTCATGTATTCATTATTATAAGTATTCAGTGATGCCACATCACTTTGGAAGCTTGGCTTTGTGCTGTTTGTCAAAAATGTGCAGAGGAAGTGATGTAAGTCTGAATGCTGGCCTATGCTGTGATTCAGTTTGCTCCTAAAAAATTCTGGTACCTCTGAACAAAAACACTATCGTAATTACAGAGGAAATCTCTAATTCACACACCAGTCCATTCATTGGTCAGTCTGTATTATCTAATAATCACATTCATTCATGAAATATGCCAGTTTGAACCAAACCCACTGGGCTGCGCAAGAAAATGTGTAATTGATTATGTAATGCAGACCCAGTAGATCAAAGGTCCTTGTCTTCCACATTGCCTCTTAATGAACTCTATTCTGAACAAGCAAACAAGGGACGTTAAATCATGACAGAAGTATTGTATAGAATATGATAACCCTTAAAGAGAGGCATGCGAACATGTTATTTTTGTGTCTTTCCTTCACAAATGTGCAGAGTTGTGCATTTTGAGCTAGCTGGGGAGATCCCCTGTTAAATAAACAAGGATAATCAGATGTAGTGTTTACTTTTGGGTCAATGCTGCTTTATGACGCACATAAGAGTAAAATACATATTGCCAGTGGTTTGCACAGTTTGACCTCCTTCATTTCAGATGCCCCCTTTATTGAAATGAAAGCTCACCTAGAATGTAACAGTTCTAATGACAAGTGAAACTTGTCATAAATTCCCATACCAATATAATCTGGATTACATAATCAGAATTGTATTTCTTATTAGATTATATTATGTTTTAAAATGCTCCAGTTCAGTTACGTTTTTATTAATGATATGGTTACTTAATATTCACAAACTGCCAAGGAATTATTCATAATTCATTGATTCTCCCTAATTAATCTGTTTTATGTTTAACAACTTTCTTTGTTTGGGAAGTCTTCCAGTTTTAACTAGTCAGGCAGCTATACTTACACAGAAAATTGAGAGATCGCACAACATAAACAAATAAAATGTTTCATCATTTTTGAAAGGGTTTTATTTGGATTCTTTTTATATTTAAAATTATTTCTTTTGATTTAACGCTTTTTAAGATTTTATTAATTATTATCTTCATCTCGTTGAAAACAAAGAATCGACTAAGTTTTCTTTCTCTTTGTGTGTTTTTTTTTTTATATATATCTTAATGGTTTAAGATTGCCTTATTCAAAAATGATAAATGATAGGTCAAAAGTAATCTAAAAGTAATTTGTGTCAATAATGGACTACGATTTGTACATAATCTACCCAAAAGTATAGTTTATATACATTCAAGCTGTTCAGTGCTTTTGACATGTTCTGTGGAATAATATTTTTTTTTCTCAGTGATTGTTTATATTTACTGAGAAAATTAATGAATATATAAGAACTCTTAAGTGTTCTTATATAAGTGTTCAAATAACAATCTAAGTGTTCAAATGTCTGTAAAACTACTACAATACATTGTAAAATTGTTTTAAATTATTTAAAAACTATTGTGGAAAAAACAGTGTTATGTGTAAATATGTTATAAAGGCAACATTTTGGGATCATCACTATTTAACTTAATTTTAATCATAATTTTCCATGAGAGATATTTAATTATTTTGTATTACTTCAGAGTGATAAAGGCGAAACTGTGTTGCCACTGCAAGTTAAACTCCCTCTTATGATGCCAAGGTATATGCAAATTATACAGTTTCACTCTTTTTTAAAGTCGTACATTTGAACTGTTTCAAATGTTTAAGCAATGGATTTATGTGATGAATACCCTTTGGTGTCTGGACAACACAAAATCACAAAAGATTGTGATTTGTCAGTTTTCAGCTCAATAGTCTCAACAAAAACTTATAGATCGGGTAAAATATAGTATCTGAATTTTCAAATTGTTTCAAATTGATATCTGTTAGTTGAACAATGCATATTTGTTTCATGTATCATGACAGTTTCAGTATAGTAAGAAGCAGTTCTATTTTTGAGGCCACTACATCTGCACACATTTTACTCATGTGTTGCCCTCTTGTGGAAACCTCAAAGATTTGTTTCAAGTGTGATATGCAGAACAGACTTGCAAAATCATATCAACAAAACTGGTTCATGTAGCCTTTTATATGTCTATCCTTAGTTTCCTTAATAATCCAGAGGATGTTTTGCAATTAATTCCAGTGTTAGATTACACGCTTGAGTTCTTTATGGACATAGGGTTGGATGAGGTGGTTTTGTTTATGTTGGGGAAACACAGGCTTGATTAAACCTCTGAAGTATTTGTATGTCGGTGCTGCATGCAGGTAGTCACTGTACGCTTTGAAGCCCTCAAAGTGTGTTTTGACTAGGTGCCTCTTGTTCCATGTTGTGCCAACATGACCCACTTTGTTGGTGTTACTTTAATTAAAGCCATGTGAAATCCTCCGCTCTTGTTCTGTACAAAGGTCTGGGCCTTTAAAGCTATAAAGATCAGGGAGCTTAACTGTGTTTTTTTTTTTTTTTTCAGTTTATCTTAGCTGCAAATAATGGTTCATACACTGAAACACACACACACACACACACAGATTTTTATAAGTTGTAAATAAAACAAAGATACTGAACTGGAGTATGTTTTACAAGAAAATACTATTTTACTCTTTCTACTTAAAAAATCATTTAAATGGATAGTTCATGCAAAAAAGACAATTCTGTAATTTTACTCTTTCTCAAGTTGTTCCAAATTTTTCTTTCTTCTGTTAAACATGACGATATTTTGAAGAATGTAACCAAACAGCAGCTAGTCCCCATTGACTTCCATAGTATGGGGGGGGGGGAAATACTAAGGGAGTCAAAGGGGACCAGAAACTGTTTGGTTAGCTATATTCTTCAAAATAACTTCTTTTGCACTCTACAGAAGAAATGTAAGCCCGTACAAGTTGATTGAATTTAAAAAAAAAATTTTGGAAACTCGTCGCCCTAAAAAAGTTGATTTTGTCTTTTTGAACAAACAAGACATTTCAAGTTCTTTACATTGGAAAGTGTTAGTTCATTGAACTATCTGTTACAATAACTCAAATTTACCAGTTAAGGTAACTCAAAACATTAAATTGCACTAAAGTGAATTTTTAGTAGACCAAATTGCATTTTTAATATAACTTATTTAATTGGTTTAATTTGACTGATTTCTCTGCCGAATTATTATTCTTTAAGTTACAGCTGCACAATAAACAAGGACAAAAATACAAACAACAAGGACTTTCTTTTAGAATTCAGTTTATTTTAATTCATTTTGCAAAATCCATTTAACACATTTTTGGTAACTTAGGTATGTTGAGATTTTGTCTAATAAAACAAAGAGAAAATGTATGTGTGTAATGTATTGCTCATTAATCAAGATGCAAGGCATAAGGCATAAGTTTTCTGAACCGTCCTTCCCAAGATCACCCTCTGAGATGATTCCTTACAGGGGCTAGATGGACGAGAAAGACAGGGGATGCTGTGCAACATCTTCGCTT